AGATGAACTGACACATGGCTGCAGCAGTGCACTCAACTGTAACAATCGTGACCATGGCACCGCTGGGCAGGTTTCTGTTCCGTTGTACGTGGGCTTGCTATGAGCAGGAGCCAGCTAGATGGCACGTAACGACCCGCAAGGTCAACCCTTGCAAAACCGCCCGCTGCTCCGAGCGAGCATCGTTCTACGCCTGTGGAGGTTTACAGCCTGAACCCACAGCCCAGATCTGCGTGTTCTGTAGGGGTTGCTGGGAGTTGTGCTCTCTGTGGAAGCCAACTGCCAGGTCTTCCTACTCTCGCGTGACTGCAGCCTTCAACCACCGATCTGTGGTCAGCAGCTGAGTGCTGAAACTACTGCCCGACCCGGTTTCCTTCAGTACCCTACAACTTCTCGGGAATTGCACTTTAGGAAAACAGGATTTTATTATAATAGTGGAAGAACCTTCTAGTAGACTTTGAAATTATAGATAGGAAGTTATATCCCAGCTCTGTCATTTATGTGTTATATGATCTTGGTAAATCTCTAAAATAGGGCTGTAGAAATACATCTTTGCAATGTTCTTTGATATTGATAAAAATAATAGTCAACACATTTATAAGGCATGTAAATGAGAATTAAAACCCTACGGGATAAGTGATACTGTTTTTCCCATTTTAAATTAAAGTACCCAAGGCACGACGGGTTAAAACTTCTCCTAACTAATGGCTAGTAAATGGAGGGTGAGGAGGAGGGGTTTGAACCTATACAGGTTAACTCTAGAACATAACCTTTAATCTTGACCTTCTATTCTCTGAGGGTTTAACTTTGGTCTAACTTCAGACGTATTAATCAGATATTTTCTTGAGTTTCTTGTTTCCTGATTCCTCTTTCTTCATCCTGTTTCTGAAGGATCAAACAGACCCTGCTGGTACTTCCATCGTCCATCATCAGTACATTCAGGGACAAGAATGCAGACCAGCTCTGACTTTAGCAGGGTTCTGTGCCCAAACCTATGAGATTGAGTCTTTGAACATGGCACCGAAATCAATGTGATGAGAGGAGAAATGATTTCAGACTAAGCCGTTTCTGACTGGCCTCTTGGGTTATGTTTTTAACTCAGGGTCCCTCAATGCCCGAAGCAGCGTGGAAGATCATCGGTCTCCAGAAAACACGGGCTCTTCTGTCACTGTGGACAACTTTCCGGAAGTGGACAAGGCCATGTTGATCGAGAGGATAGTCCGGCTGCAGAAAGCCCACGCCCGGAAAAATGAGAAGATCGAGTTCATGGAGGACCACATAAAACAACTGGTGGAAGAAATTAGGAAAAAAACAAAGTATGTAATGTTATGGTAGTGCAGCCTGTACTGAAAATACTATT